ACTGTGGGAGGCCGAGGCGGATGGATCACGAGGTCAAGAGATCGAGACCATCCTGGTCAACATGGTGAAACCCCGTCTCTACTAAAAATACAAAAAATTAGCTGGGCATGATGACGTGTGCCTGTAATCCCAGCAACTCAGGAGGCTGGGGCAGGAGAATTGCCTGAACCCGGGAGGCGGAGGTTGCGGTGAGCCGAGATCGCGCCATTGCACTCCAGCCTGGGTAACAGAAGCGGAACTCCGTCTCAAAAAAAAAAAAAAAAAATTTTTTTTAGATGTAGTCTTGTGCCATTGTAAATGACATCTTTTTCATTTTCATTTTGCAAATGATTATTGTCTTATATAGAAATGTTCTTGGCTATTTTTCCATCTTTTTATCTGGCAACTTTATTGAACTTTCTGTTTCTGGAGTTTTCTTATTGATTCCCTTACATTTTCTCAGGTCCAGTACAGTAGGTTATTTGCAATAATATAAACCGTGAGTCCTCCTTTCTAACATAGACTAATAACTGCTCATCAATGCCCCCCTCAGGAACTTGAAAGAAATACATGTAGTTGGGCCTTCCTCTGTCCCCACTGAACTGGAACTTCAGTCTCAGCCTTTGGGCTTCCGGCTTCGGCCTTCGGGGCAGGGATGGGAGGTGGATTCCAGACTCAAAAGTCTGCAAAGGGGAGGAAGGCCTGGCTTCTCTAAAAGCACACCAGTATAGCTACAGACCAGAGCCTTGATTGCTTTGTAGGAACTTTTTAAATTTTGGGGCCGGGCGCGGCGGCTCACGCCTGTAATCCCAGCATTTTGGGAGGCCGAGCCGGGTGGATCACGCGGTCAAAAGATCAAGACCATCCTGGTCAACATGGTGAAACCCCGTCTCTAATAAAAATACAAAAAAAATTAGCTGGGCATGGTGGCGCGCGCCGGTACTCCCAGCTACTTGGGAGGCTGAAGCAGGAGAATTGCCTGAACCCAGGAGGCGGAGGTTGCGGTGAGCCGAGATCGCACCATTGCACTCCAGCCTGGGTAACCACAGTGAAACTCCATCTCAAAAAAATAAATAAAATTAAATAAAATTAAATTTTGGTCTGTGAGCAAGGAAAGTCAGTGAAGGATTTGAAGCAGGAGGTGCAAGGATAGATTTGCTTTATGAAAAAATCACTCTCACTGCCATGTGAGAACAGACTGCAGGGGGCCGGAGGGAGAGGCGGGGTGCAGATTATTATGTAACCACAGCTAACTCATACTGCATCTTTTAAGTGGTTTACATATATTAACTGTTCAGTCCCCAGGACAGCCCAAGGCATACAGGTGGTTCATGGCAGAGCTTGTTCCTAAGCACTCATCAGCTCCACTCTTTTTCACGGAGAGGGGGGTGGGACTTCAGACCCACTTACGGAGTGCATCCTGCGCTGCCATCTGTCTTCTAGGTGTGTGGCTGGGTGAGGGCTGGGTCTGTGCTCATCATGCCTTTTTCGTAGGGGTAAGCCTAGCCTGAGTGTTCGGCTCTCCCAGGGCAGTAGGAGTGGGAGGTGAGAAATGTATATCCTTTCAATGTAAATTTTCAGATGGGCCCCTTGATAATGGAACTCCAGTGATGTAGGGTGCCTCAGACCTTATCTAATGTTATACACTGATACACTGAAGCCAAGAAAATTGGGAAGGCACTTGTCTATGGTCATATAAGAGGCTGGGGACCTAGACCTCAACTCAGGATTCCTGACATTCAAGATACGAATGGTGTTTTTAGATCAAGTGAGAACATGGGCCTATAACATCAGCAAATGTCTGGTCACCTGTAAGGGGGCAAGGAAAGTTTCGTATGAGATTCCTGTCCTTCACCAAACTGCTTTGGTTGTCTGTCAGAGCCAAGAGGATGGAGCGGGACACAGTTCAGAATAGGCAGACTGAGCTCGGATGTGGGGAGCCACAGCATGACATAGAGAGCTGGGGCGTATTTGGGGCAGGGGTTGGGAGGCTGGGGCAGAGCAGAGGATGACCTGAGCTACAGGAACACACAGTGGCCCGAGGCCCCTCCCACTGGGGAAGGGAGACTTCTGAAATCCATCTGAGGGCCAGCCCAACTTGCCTGTCTCCAGGGAGACCCCAGAAATCCTCACAAGTGCAAGGCCTGGGACAGGGCCACCTGGCCTGAGGTGTCCAGCTCAGAATCCCAGGGCCTTGTCCTGCTCTGCTGAGCCCCTGTCCTCAGGGCTCCACTCATACCTTCCTTGGGGTCAGGGGAGGTACAGGAAGGGGCCACTCTGCAGCAGTGGGGAAGGTGGTGACAGCTAAGCAGACACAGAGACATGAAGAGCAGGTGGGCTTTGATCAGACGAGGGGTCAGGAGAGAGACACAGCGATGCAAAGGACGCAGAGGTGGAAGGAGGCAGAGGCAGGCACTGCCCCGCAGCCCCACCACCCCTGGGCATGATCTCACTTGATGAGGCCTAGAAGGAGTCTTTGCACATTCCTCCTCAGGGCCAGAGCTCAGTTTGGAGATGGCAGAGGGGGAAGGGGCCCTCTCTCTTCCCCGCTTCCTCCCTCCTAGAGCCCAGGCAGGGCAGCAGTGGTGGGACCACCTGTTCTCGCCCTCATCTGCGGTGGGCTGGCGGCAGAGGCCCCATGGCACAGGCTTGGTGAGGCTGAGTAAACCCTTGCTGCTGTGACCACCCACAGTGCTTCTGCTTCCTTCTGTATAATAGCTCCTTGGGGAGCTGCCAGCAATCAATGAGATAATACAAATGAGCGCTTAGCACAGTGCTGGCCCTGTGTGAGGGCTCAATGAGTGGGAGCTCAAAATACGAAATGTTGTCCCATCTCTGTGGTGCGTTGGACTTCCAGCACGGCATTCACAGGCTCACGCTCCTTCTCAGTTCAGCCTCATACACTCTATGCAGTAGGCAAGGCGTACATTGTCTCCATTAAACAGATGAGGAAACTGAGGTGAGCCTGAGCAGCGTGGGCTCTGGTCACCCAGTGAGTTAGCAGCACAGAGAAGATAAGAATTCAGCTCTCCTAAGTTTCGTGTGTTTTCACTGCTGTGTTTCTTATACAAAATACAAGAATGCTAACACAAAAAACAATAAAGCAAGAATTCTCACCTTATTTCAGAATGGAGCAAAGTATAATCATCTTCTTTTGTCCCCTAACAGCCCTGCAGTAAAGAGGCAAAATATCAGAGAAAGTTTAGGGCTGAGAGGAGTCTTTCATGAAGCACAGAGAGGGGGACATCCTTATTTAAGGTCACACAGGACATTAGCAACCTAGCCACGATTGGAACCTAGCACTAGCGCCCTTTCCTCTACAGCTGCTGCCTCTGTAGGTCTTGGAACTTTTATCTCCACTTCAGAGTCTGGAAAACTGAGCCCACAGCTTGATTTCAATCCCATAAATGACCTTTGGGACTCCGCTTCCTCGGTGGCTCTAGAGTCTGGTATCTAAGAATCAGCAGCAGCAGAAGGGAAGGCTCATGGAGCAAAAGGTTGCTGTGTTGGGAGTGATAAACTTTTCAAATAGTTTAAATTGCATTTCAGGGACTGATTCCTCTTGCTGGGGAGATTGGTTTGTGAATTCAGAATAGGATTATTTAATATGCAGTTCACATTTTAAATAATCATGGTTTTCTTAAAGCAGGGAGAAAAACAGGTCAAAAACACCAACTCATAGGCTTTTCTGAAAGGTTACAAAATAAAATGTTCTTTGCTGGAGGATATAAAGGAAATGGCTCTCTGTTTGACAAAGGAGAGGGCTCTGCTAGATAAATCCTGCATTTATGAATAAATGAGAGCTCTCTCCCTCTCTTCCTGATCAGCTTAATTCCTTGTTGCCTATCTGCAAATCCAATAATGCTGGTGAAACAAACCCCTCCTGGAGGCTGAGCACAGGGGCCTGAATGCTTAGCCTGAGAGCCACTCTTTCTATTTATAATCTCAGCCCCTGCTCCCCAGAGAGCTGGGCTTAGATGCCCTGTGGGCAAGTGGGCAAGAGGACTTCCTGGGAACAGAAGCTTCCCTGGTCAGGGACACTGTCCTCCAGCCCTGGGTCTCCCTGCCTAGGAAGCAAGCAGCAGACGCCTCAGAATGAGTACAGAGCGGTATCACGGTTCAGCATCCTTCCTGCTCTTCCTCTGCTCCCTTCCAAGATAAATAACCAGGCTAAGAATTGCATGTGTCCTTGCACCCACGGGCAGTAAAGTGCAGCCACTTGGCTCTTGTCTTAGTGACACACTATATTACACTAGGTGATTGAGGATATGGCAACCTGTAAGGCATTACAAAATATATATATATATATATTTTTTTACCAAAACTATATTTGTACTAATAGTGTGTGTTTATTGTCTGTCTTCTCCAATTTGGGGGCAGGCATGTTGTCTGTGCTGTTCAGGGGTCACTAGGAGGTCTTAGGGGCCAAAGCTGGAGCTAACAGGAGGTCTGCGCACCTGGAAGAAGGGTCGCCTGGAATGGAGGATGTAGTCCCTGGGGCAGCAGAGTGGAAGCGCCTGGACTGTGTCTCTCACCCTAGGCAACTCTGTATGAGACCACAAATGTGTCAGCTGGTGGGGCTTTTTTATAGAGCATTATACTTGCCTAAAATATTGTATCCCATCTTATAAGTCTGTTACTCTGTCATCAAAAATTCTCTATAAGGCTGGCTGCGATGGCTCACACCTATAATCCTAGTGCTGTGGGAAGCCAAGGAAGGAGGGTTGTTTGACCGAGGAGTCCAAGACGAGCCTGGGTGACACAACAACACTTCGTCTCTACAAAAGACTTAAAAATTAGCCAGGTGTGGTAGTTTACACCTGTAGTCAGCTACTCCAGAGGCTGAGGCAGGAGGATCATGTGAGACCAGGAGTTCAAGGCTGCTGTGAGCTATAATAGCACCACTTATAGTTCAGCCTGGGTGACAAGAGTGAGACCTTGTCTCTCTCTCTCTCTTTTTTTTTTTTTTGAAATGGAGTCTTGCTCTGTCACCCTGACTAGAGTGCAATGGCGCAATCTTGACTCACTACAACCTCTGCCTCCCGGGTTCAAGCGATTCTCCTGCCTCAGCCTCCCAAGTAGCTGGGATTACAGGTGCCCGGCTAATTTTTGTATTTTTAATAGAGACCGGGTTTCATCATGTTGCCCAGGCTGCTTTTGAACACCTGGCCTCATGTGATCTGCCTACCTTGGCCTCCCAAAGTACTGGGATTACAGGCATGAGCCACCATGCCCCGCCAACACTCTCTCTTAAAAACAAAAATTCCCCATAAAGGTTGCTTAATGATCCATCCTGTGAACACTTGACTACTTACTTAATGGAGTCCTAATTAGTAGACATTTTGTTTATCCTCCCTCAGCCAATTTCCCCTATTAGCCATAAAGTTTCCATCAGTATCTTTGTATATAAACTTTTGACTTCATTTTCCATTTCCTTTGGCTAGTTTTCTAGAACAGGAATTAATGAGTCAAAGGGCTAAGGTGCTCATCATCTGGTTTTCTCTGGAGAAAGGTCGATCTCTGGTCTCTTCAACGCTCATCTGCCTGAATCTGAATTTGAATCTGAAATTAAATCTTATCTGTGTGACTTTCAGCAGATTATGTATAACCTTTTTGTTGCTTCATCTGTAAAATGGGGATAATAATAGTACCTACCTTGTTGTGTTGCTCTGAGGATTAAATGGGAGAAGTCGTGTGTAATTGCTAAGTTGAATAGGCACAGGCATGACTCATGAGATATAATCATAAAGCAAACTTTGTTTTTGCCTCCCACAGTCTCTTTAAATTTATTCTATAGGGCTGTGTTCCCCTCTAAAATTATATTAAATTTAGGGTAAGTCCCATGACTTTTCTGGCCATTTTCAGGTAACCAGAGGTTGTCTTGTCAGTAATTAATGCATTCTGTCTGTTGTAAAAAAAAAAAAAAAAGAAAAAAATCTTCAAACGTCAGAGTTACACCATCTTTTTCCCAGCACAGTCTGCTGCAGGCCAGCTGCCTGTGGGGAGCTTGCACATGAGAGTCCCGACCCTTTCCAGGGTCCAAGGTGGAGGGGGAGAGAGGTGGGAGAGGAGAGGGGCGGGAAAGGTCTTCAGTGACTGTACTCTTGAGTTGGTGTCATGTTGATCTCTGGACCCTCTCCCTAATGGGGGTGTTTTTGTGGGTTGGTGGAGTCTCATCCTGCACCTCCCTTGATGAGGGTGATACTCTCTCCCCATAGCCGATCCCATGGCTTCTTTCTCAGGCTCTGGGAAATCTGGTCTCCCTTGGTGTCACCCCCTCCCACAGAGGAGCCCTCTTGGAGTGGCTCTAAGACAATCACATCTGGCTGTCTTGCTGGGTCCCACCTCTGTCCACAAGAGACACTCACGTGTGCTTTGCCCTGCAAACCAGGGAGCAGGGTTGATGCTGGAGCAGCAGCACTCTTGCTGCTCTTTGGATTTGTCCACTGTGGCACCAAGACCATTGTGGTCACATATCAACCAACTTAGAGGTCTCCTCTGGCTTTGAGGTGAAGGTGATAGCACCTTGCAACCCTCCCACTTATTTTTTTTTTTTTTTTTTTTTGAGACGGAATTTCACTCTCGTTACCCAGGCTGGGGTGCAATGGCGCGATCTCGGCTCACCGCAGCCTCTGCCTCCTGGGTTCAGGCAATTCTCCTGCCTCAGCCTTCTGAGTAGCTGGGATTACAGGCACGTGCCACCATGCCCAGCTGATTTTTTGTATTTTTAGTAGAGATTGAGTTTCACCATATTGACCAGGATGGTCTCGATCTCTTGACCTCGTGATCCACCCGCCTCGGCCTCCCAAAGTGCTGGGATTATAGGCGTGAGCCACCGCGCCCGGCCCAACCCTCCCACTTATTAGGGATCACGGGACCGACAGAGGCTCTCTCTGAAATTCATTCTAAACTTTCAATAACCCTTTTTTCAGCCTCTCTCCTATTTTGTATGTGTTAGAGATGGGTGTCAGCTAACGGCACAGACTTAGGTTTTCACCACCTCTTTTCCAAGAGGTGTATCCCACTTCACTTTGGAATGTGGTATCTGTTCATTTGATGCCCCAAGTGGAGCCTGGACCAGAAGCATCCCATCTCATTCCCCCATTGCCATTTTTGTCTTTATGAAACACACAGAGGAGTGCCTGGGATAGAGCATGCACTAAACAAATGATAGCTGTGTGTGACCCAGGCTCACAGGCTCTCTAGTTACATTCACCTCATAACCGTTCTATCTGGTTTTATTCCTATTACTTTGTTTTATGCCCTATGCATTTTTATGTTTCCTGTAGATTATGCTTGTGTGTCGGTGTGGAAATTATTTGCTATTATTTTCAGCAGTGATTTGAAAAATAGACATATTGTTTTTAATTTTACTAGTGGTTGACCTACATTTTTCTCAAAGACATTGTAAGCCTATTTATCTCAGTCATCAACGGTGGTGCAAGGGTCTTTGTATATGCTGCAGTTATTTAAGTGGGAATGACAGAGGGCTTTATCTGGCCACCCATACTTACGCTACCGTCTTGCCATGATGTCTACCCACATCTTCGAAATGGCACTTGACTCTGTTTTGGGGCTGGCTTATCTTTGTCCTGGACTTTACTCAGAGCTGTCTAGCAGTAGTCCATGCTGTTAGCGTTGTCTCCCTTCCTTAATCCTCATTCTGCTCCCAATTATTTCTTTCTAAAGGTTACATCTGGGCAGATTATTCTTGGCTTAAAACCCTCTAGGGGTCCCCCATTGGGAACCACATCCTGACAACAGCCTATAGGAAATTTCTAAACTCTAGGATAATTGCAGACTCCCTAGCTTGATGTTCAGGACGACATATGATCTGGCCCTGCCTTAACTTTCTAGGCCCATTTCCTGCGATGCCAAACCCTTCACCTACATGGTGCCAATGCTGGCTTGCACCTTGGCTTTCAAGTACATTGGGCATATACTCTCATGTCTCCATAACTGTGCTCATGTCATCATCTCTGTCTGGAATGCCCTTTGGTAAAGGACCCTAGCACAGTGCCTGGTCAATTGTAGAATCGCAGTAACTGTTAAATTTTCCCCTTCCTTTGTTATCAGCCTGTCAAAATCCTATTCATCTTTCAGGGTTCAATACAACCATCATCCTTTTCTACTCTTGGGAAGGATTGTCCTAACCTGACCTCCCCCCTTCCAGGGACTTCCATTGACTGTCTCTTTTCTGCGCCCCCTCACCCCCAGCACATTGTACACCCATGTTGAAACACCAGTGCCTTAATGTGGGGTACAGTCATTATTTCTTCCTATCTCCCCTGCTGAACTGAAAGCTCCCTGAGAGCAGCCATGCACCTGACCCCCACCAAGGGCACTGCAGCCCTGCATCAGGCTTTGAGGGACTAGTTGATGTTTGATTGATTTGAATTGCCTTCCTCAGACTGCAAGGTCACAATGCCAGGCCACTGGGCAGGGCCCAATCTGAATGGATTATCATTTATCATTCATATCCCTTTGCTTCCAGAATTGACTAGAGGAGGCCCACACTCAATAAAACCATCACATTAACTACAGCACATATAAGACCCCACGTAGATGGCTAAGTGCCAAAATGCTAACCTTCTTCCTTGGGTGAACTGATCCTGCTGAGGGGGGTGGCCCTGGGGTCCTCAGGCTCAGGTGGCGGCTGTGAGTGTGTCTGTTGCCACTTCAGTCTCCATGCATTCCTTCACTCCCTCACAAACCATAACCATGTTTGAAAATGCCTAAAATGCAAACAGGATGATTTAAATTCATAGCAGGTATCTTACCCTTGCAGGATTTGGGCAGGTGGTGAGAGAGGCATGTTGGGATTGCTGTGTGGTGGTGTTTCAGTCAAGATAACCTTGTTCCTGGGGCTTATGCCCTTCTTCAAGGGTCACTGTTACAATTCAGATGTAAAAATCTAACGTTTACCATGGCCTAGTATAATATTCATCATATGACTTTCCGGAGTAGCTTTTTGATGGAAGCCAAGGGCATAAACTTAAAATGTCAACCACGGAAGCCATTTGAGTGGAAAAACCCATCATGCATTCTGAGTTGAATGTGAACGCTCATGCACTCCATAGATCTCAAAGAAGCACACAGATCATTCCTTTGCATGCACACCATCCAACAAATGTTCTTGTGCGGTCTTGTTCAGACTGCAGGGCCATCTCATACACATACACACACTTCCGTGTACACTGACACAGTCCTACTGCCCCCCGCCCCGGCTTCCTGTGCACACACCCACACTCATGCATACACTGGCACGGAGTCCCACTGACTCTTATACATCCCATGTGCATACACACATGAACACATACACACTTATATTCATGTGTACACCGGCACTCAGTCCCACTGATTCCCCCATATCCCATGCACACACACACATGCACACGCACACACATACACACTCACACATATTGTATATATCGGCACTCAGTCCCACTGGCCCCCTCACATGTCATGCACATACCCTCACATGTACACACACTCACACTCATGCATACACTGGCACTCAATCCTACGGTTGTCCCACATCCCATGTGTATACAAAACTTCTGCAGAAAGAGACTTGGAAAGCCATCTTATTTCTGTACCTCACTCTGCCTCCAGATTTTGCTCCCTTAGGACAGAGCCTAAAGTGTCTATTTAATAGATTCAATTACTCCAGGCTCCTGAGACCTTCCAACTTAATTCTGATTGCTTTAAGATGTCAGGTAATTTGGAAATAAAGGGAGGAAAACAGCTTCAGATTCTTGAAGGGAAAAATCTTTTAGACCCTCATTGTGTCTGACACCGTAGCTACTGACTTCAACTCAGGAAGGGGTGGCCTGGAGGGTGGGGCCTCCAGGGGTCAAAGCTTCTGGCCTCTAGGCAAGGTTCTGTCCTGAAGGTCGGAGACCTCTAGGGTAATGCATTGTTGCTCTGCTGTGCCCTCCAGGGTAGGGACCAATCTCTGCTGCATTTCCTGGGAGGCCAACAGAGTCCAAGCCAAGCATCCTAGCAGGCAACAAAACAGCCCTGTTTTTTTGCCTCCTGTACCTCACTCCCAGGTGTTTCATTTTGTCTGCTCTCTGTCCCCAGTGACAGTGATAGCTCTTGGAGGTTGATAAATAACCAGAGGTCAGAGTGTTCAGAGAGCATCAGTGCTGTGCCAGACAGAGATGGGTCTGACCTGTCCTGAGCTCCAGAAGCCTGGAGAGAGAGGGTGTGTGTGTGTGTGTGTGCGTGCACGCGCGCGCATGTGTTCAGGTGTGTGTGTGTGTGTGTGTGTGTGTGTACGCGTCATGAACTGTGATAGGCAGAAAGGAGGCTGAGGGTAAGGGCTGTAGACCCAGACCATTTGTGTGTGAATGCTAGCTTCATCATTGATCAGCTGTGTGACTTTGGGCAAGATCCTTGCCCTCTCTGTAACTCAGTTTCCTCTGCTGTAAAACGGGTATGATAATGGTGCATACCTTGTAGGGTGGCTGTGAGGATTAAATGAGTTACATACATAGCATCTGACACAGCCTCTGACACTCACCGAATATTCCACATATTGTGGTTATTGTGTTTTATAATTGATGGACAAGAGAAGGCAAGGCTGAAGGGCTCCGAGAGTCCTGGGATGGAGGTCTGGCTGTGGCTCCAGGGCAGCAGGATGAGCCCCCTTCCTCAGCCCACGTGGCTGTTCTCACACTATGCGGGGCAGTCCTGATGGCCTTTCATCAGAAGATCCCCGCACAACACTCTCCTGGCGCAGCTGGTGCGGCAGAATCCAGGAGGCACATGAGGACGCCCGTGGGCGTGTGAGGACCGTGCCCCTCTGCAGACCTCTCCCTGATCACCTGCTCCACACGCAGGCCCTGGTGACTCCTCAGCCTGCTGCTCCTTGCTTCCACTCGCCCTACTGTGGGTCCTCTGCCTTCTCAGTGTGCCATGCCTTGCATTCAAGTCCTGGTCACAGCCAGGACTTCCTCAGTGCACAGAGACTTTCAGAGGATCTTTACAGAGGTTTTTGCCTCCTGTTAACTGCGCCCCCTAGGAAGGGCTATGGAGGACACAGATCACAGAACAATTTCAGCTCCACCACTCCCCAGCTTTACGGCCTTGGGCATCTCCGCATTCCTATTCTCTGGGTTATGCGGATAAGATGTTTTGTCTCTCAAGGATATTGTGGAGATTAAATATTAGAAATTTGCAAGGGCGGGGAATGCAATAGACAGTAAATGCTCCCCTTCCCTTGACGCTATAGCTTAGATGGGAGGGAGCCACAGCTGAGGAAATACCTCCTTTACTTAACCCAAAGACAGAGAGGGTTCCCCAGGCTGGGGTGTGGGAACTTGGGGGAGAGGGAAGGCCAGCCTCCACGCATCGGCCCGGAGGTTCCCCCACCTCTTCCTGCACGACTAGATTCTTCCTCCATCCGCGCCCCCGGCACGGTCCCTGTCCTCGCCAAATCCGCGCAGCGGTTTCCCATCCCATAGCGGAGACAGGTAGGTCAGGTATGTAGGGAGGTGTTCGAGTGATCCTCTTTTCACTGAGGACGAGACTGAGGCTTGGGAAGCCTGGGGACTGGCCCGGCGGCAGCGCCGCTGTTAGCCGAAGGTGGGCGCCGGCGCGCGATTGGAGCAGGGATGGCGGCGATTTCGGGGGAGGGGGCAAAGGCGCTCCGCAGGCCCAGAGCCGGCCGGGGGTGGGGTCTCCGCGGGGCGGGGCGGGGCGAGGGAGAAGGGGCGGGCGGCCGCCGCCACGCAGTGCTCCCGCCTCGGCGCCAGAGAGGCGCGGGACGGTGCGGGCGGCCTCCCCGCCTCCACGCGCGCGCACGCCCCGCGCACTCCCGCTGCTTCGCCCATCGCGCCGCGCCGTGCCGCGCAGGCAGCCGCTCGCAGAGCCAACAGCCGGGGCCCTGGCGTGCAGCGCGGGCCTCGGCGGGGCCCAGCGCCCCGGCCCGGGAGGATGCGGCCCGGGGCGGCCCGGGAGCTGAGCAGGGCCCCCGTGCCGGCCCTACCGGGCCCCGGCCTCCAGAGCCGCAGCCGCCGCCCCGCCCCCGAGAGAAATGACTTCCAAACCGCATTCCGACTGGATTCCCTACAGGTATGCGGGCGCAGGGCCGGGGCGCCCACCACCCCTGACTCGGGACGTAGGCTGGCGGGGGATACGCGGCCGGGATGCAGGGCATTGCTGCCCTCCCCACCTGTCCCAGCACTGGGGCGCGGGTTGGAGTCGCTGGTCTTTCCTCCCTCAACTTTGAGGGCCCCTGCGGACTGATCCCGCTTGCCCCGCTCTATCCGCTTATCCGCCAGGGTTGCTGGAAGGGGCCTTGTTGGGTCAGGGTGCACCATGTGCCCGCCTGGGGAGGGAGCCCACACTGCTCCAAGTCCCCTCGTAGGCCCAGCACCCCAGTCACACGCTGTGCAGGGTGCGCGCACACACTCATACATCTGCACGCCAGGACGTCCGTGTCTTGGGCCAAAGACGCTACCGCTGGTTTGTTCACACTCTCCATGCATGGATCGGTGAAGACAGTTATTCTGAACCAAGAGCACACTAGTGGTCATGTGCACATGAACCCATATATTCAACACATAAGAATTCTTGGGCTCACACAGGCATATACCTGTGTATCGGTGCACGTCCACATCGTGTATCTGGAGAATAACTGACACCTGCTACTCGCTCACAAGTGCTACTCAGTCTCTTTCAGAGATCGAGTAATCTACTTGCTAGCAGGCCTATACTTGGACACACACCAGCTCACAGTACATAGAACTGCCCTCACATGCACAAAAGCACTCAAGAATCCAGGCACACTCAGGGAAGCCCACCACCCTCTGCTGCCAGGCACTGTGGTCTATCTCAACGATGGCAGGGTTTTCCCACTTGTGTGGGAAGGGGCGGGGAGGTGATCTCGGGCCTCTCACAGGTGCAGGTCTTTCCCCATCCACTCTATTCCATTCTCTCTATTACCAAGGAAAGGAGCTCATTTCCATGGCAGCGCCAGATTCTTGGCCACCCATTGGCTCCTTGGTTGCCAGGGGTTACGGGGCTGTCTTTAGGCCTCCTAGACAGACTTGTGTGTAAAAAGGGAGCTGGACTGCTAAGACCCCCTGTGTTATTGCTGACCCAGGTGCACGTGCTAGCGGACGGCAGGATCAGATCCTCAGGACCTGCCTTGTAACACAGCCTGCTCTCTGTTGGAGCCTCATACCAGTCACTGACAGAAAATAGTTCTGACAGGGCTCTTCTCTGAGTCTGTCCAGACAGCGTCCCAAATGGAAACCAGCTGAAACCGCCCAAGGCTTGTTAAAAGCAGACCCTTCTGAAAACAGGCACGAGGCCTGGGAACTCAGGCTTTCTCTTGAGCATTGTTGTTACCTCTAATCTCAGCTCCTGTGGGGGATTCAGGGGTTCCCAGGTTATTTTGTGTCTCTCCACACCACCACCAGCAACACACACACACATGTGCACACACACACAAGTCACCTACAGGGTCTCCTGCAGAAACCTGTAGTCACACTTCAGTCTCACATGGATCAGGGAGCTGTTTCCATCATGGAACCAGGAACTGGGGCTCTGCTGAGTCAGAAGAGCTGCTGCCCTAGACAGATGTCCAGGCTGGGCACAGGTAGTTTCTGGAGGATGCTGGCCTTTCTTGGCACATGTAGGCTGAGGACCTTCTAGAAGACAGTGCAGCCCACAGAGTATCATCAGCCTTTTCTAACCACACAGCAGAGGTGCCTGGGCGGTGCCTGTGGGCCGAGTAGACTTGGTGCTGTGGAACTACCTGTGTGTGGGGGTCCACATGGCAGGGTGGTGGCCTTGGACTGAGGAGGGTGGGAGGGGCAGCACTTATGGCTGTGGAGATGATGGCATGCTTAGGATCTGGCAAACCGAAGGTTGGGCCAGGCCAAGACATGGTTCTAGGAAGCTTCTCCCAGGGCCCAGGGACTAAAGCAACTTGTAGAGACAGTGCAGGGGTCTTAGAGAAAATCTGCCTCAAACAGAATGGCTGAAGCCTGTTCCTGGGAAAGGTGGCCCAGGAAGGTAGAATTGTCTCTAGGAAATGACTCTGTTCTAGCACGTGCCCAGGGCCCTGGCATCCTGCAAGGAGTGATTTGGCACTTGCCCCAGCCCAGGTCCAACTATTGCCCTCCACCCCCACACCTCCAGCTCCTTTCCTGGGCCTCAGACTCAGCCCTGAAGCGTAGAATCCTCCTCCGTGGTTGCCTGGCCCTGAGGAGCAGCTTGCCACCCTCATAGCCCTGTGCTACGTGCTTTCACCATGCCTGTCACCCCACCTCCTCATTCTGTTGTAGAGAAGGGGGTGTCTAGCTGGAGGCAGGCTATGTCAACAGTTACCAGGATTCCCCCTGCCCTGCTGGGGTCTTTCAGGGCACACACTGAGCGTGAGAAAGCACTGGACTTGGGGTGCAGACTTCCAAAATGGGAGACCTGGGCTGAGAGGAGGAGATTCAAATTGCCTCTTGCATTAACTGGGCTGCTGATTGCAGTCAAAGCCACATGCTGTCTGATCACAGAGAAAACTGGGGCAGAAGACAGACAAAGCATTTTAGTTGCAGATGGGAGTGGGGGCAGGGGTGGCGCGCACGTGCTTTGACTGGTGTGAGGCTTCCCTCATGTCACAGCGTGTCAGAACTGGAATGTGGCATTTGGTTTGAGGGAGAGGGGTTAGCTGGCTTCTTGCTGGTTCTGCTGGTGAGGGTTTGACTTCCTCTCTAACGGTAACGTCTTGCATTCCCTGGGCCCAGCTTATTTTCTTTAGAGAAATGATAGTTGGTGATAATCTTCTTATGGGTAATTTTGGCTCAGTGTATAATGATCATGGATTAATCTCACATTCTGACTTCAAAGGTAGCTATCGAACTTATATAGCTTAACAATTGGAATCATTTTTTTGCCTTTTGTTTCTTTCTATTAGTACTAATAATTTCTATTTCTGCCAGTCTCTCTTGACCTGTGTTCTTGAGGAATATTAAATGCCCTTTGTCCATTTACAACCTTTTATAAGTTGTAGATGGAGCAGTGAGAGTCAGGAAGGACTGAGGCCCACAGGGTATTGGAGGACCATGCTGGGTGGGATTGAGGTGGCCCTGTCCTCAGTGCCCTTGTCTTCATTGTCCTGCAGCCATTGCCTGGTGTTTCTCTCACTCGGTCATGAACTAATTGAGAGTAGAGAATTTATCTGGTTCCTGGTCGTGTCCCCAGCACAGACAAGATGGCCACTTCTTTGAATCAAAGGGGCGTACTGGATAGCTAGCCTCTCGGGCTTCCTTGGCTTTTCCAGCCCCACACCTGTGTTTGAAGCACACCTGAGGGATACAGTACTCTCCATCACCATGGGGCCACCTGGAGCACTGGAGAGTTTCAGGCTGGAAGACCCTTACAGGTCATCTAGTTCTCCAAGTGGATGCTCCCTGTGGCATCCCTGTCACATGGCCTCCCATCAGATGGCTGTGACTCTTCTGAGTTCTTCCCTAGGTTGAACCTAAGCATGTCTCCATGCTCCCCCTCCTCCTGACCCTTGTTAGGATCCTCCCATCACTTCCTCACTTTGTTTTCTAGGGAGTAATGTGACTCCTGACTCCTTCAGTTCTTTTGCTGGGTTTGGCCTCAGAGGTGCCCTGGGCAGTTGAGCCGACCACTTCCCATTCTGGCAACAGCCTCATAACAACTCCCCGATTGTCTTTTTGTTTTTTAGAGATCACCAGCTGTGGCTCATGGTCACATTTGCATGGGTGAGCATTAGAATCACCCATGGCACTTGTTTTACAAAGAGGGAGGAGTGGGTTGATTCTGGGGCATGTTCCCCAGCAGTTCCAAATGGCCAAGTCAGGGCTTAGTCCCTCCAGCAGTTTTAATGCACCTGGTAAATTTGGGAACTGCTGGCTAGAATGGAGACGGCCCATCCTGCACGGCTGGAACTCCTGTGAGCAGTGTGGTCCTCTCCCTTCTGTAGTCGCATTGGTTCTCACTGTGTCCCATTAAGCTGCTGGGCCACAGAAGCCACAGATCTGGACTTGCCGTGGATCTGGCATTGGGCACAGGGTTGCAGCCAGATGCCCTGGTGGCTTTTCCTCTCCTGGCAGCCCATGTCTCTGATTTCCAGGGTCCAGCAGGGGCAGCTTCCACTGTGACTGAGGGGAAAGAATGAGGACAGGAAGAGGGGAGGGTAAAGTGACATAGAAAGTATGTCCAGAGGGTTGGGTCTGCCCCTGGATTCCCTGACCCCTGGGCCTCTGGTTAGCGCTGGTGGAGTAGCTGGAGTGTGTAAGGTAGAGTCTATGAACAGAGGGTAGGAAGCAGGCTTAAGGATGTGGGCCGTGTGTGCTTTTCCAGGGCACAGTGTTGCCCTTCTGTCCCTGCCTCCTGTTGTTAATTGTGGTTCGTTGCTTTGACATCTGTGGGGCGCCTTGGGGGAAGTGAGGGGATGTGGAGTGGTGGGCTCCCTGGGAGATGAAGCTGCCGCTTGTTGGTGCCGGACAGAGCGGATGAATTGGTGGACACTGAAGCCTGGGTTTGTCCAACCCTCGTGAGCCAGTGGCTTTCCTGAGCCTCCCTGTTCAGGCCCCCAGCAGGAGGCACCTGTGATGGAGGAGCCTCCAGGGTCAGCTGAAAGACCTATCCATCAGCGCCCTGTCTCCCGTCTGAGTCTCCTGGCGGGGCCGCAGCTGGCAGCCTGGGCTTGGCAGTTATTCCATAATTGGAGCTGAAGTCATTAAAAAGCCATTACTGTCTCCTTGTGTGGTTATCGTTTAGTGCAGCGTAGAACAGTGCCCATCAGAAAGAGGCAGGCTGGGGAAGCGGCGGTGAGGAAGGAAGATGCCTTAGGAATGGTGCTGGTGGGGATGAGGAGGCAAGGCCTTCTGGGTGGGGGCGGAGAAGGGAGCTGGGCCTGCTGAGGAAGCCAGGGGAGCTTTTGGTTCTGCTCCCTCTGGAGACAGCTGTCACTGTTGCCCTTGTTCTCCGCAACAGCTGCTGTTGGCTCAGGATTCTTTGTTATTCACCAGGGAGAGATGCTGCACACTTGTCGCAAGCTAGGAACACCCACCTGGTACACGCTTGTCACTGCTAGGTAATCGGGGTCCACCTTGTCCCCTTGCAGCTGTCGTAGAAACACTGATCTACTGGGAATTGTGCTCGCTCTCAGAGCCTCCCCATTTTGGTGGATTTCTTGTAGACCCTCCTAGCTGGGTCTTGCTCAGCCAGGCCCAGGTGGCTTCTCCCTGGCGGCCGCCCCCCAGCTGTGCACACGCCTTTCCTTCTGTGTACTTGCACATGCCTACTGGTGAGTGAGGTGATAGGTGGCTCTCTAGGTACTTTGGGGATATCTGAGGTTTCTGAAACCTCTTTTCAGAAGCCTAGCCCTTGTGGTCATCCATCTTTCTCTGAAGGCCAGTGGTTAAGTCCTTTCTACCTGTAATCTTACCTGGTAATCAGTGCTGCCAAAGCCTGTGGCTCTTTATCATCCTCCCCCATCAGGAAATGGAAGTGGAGGCAGAGAAGGAGAAAGTAACATTTTTGTGGAAAGCAGCCTCCTGCCTCCAACATACTGTGCAAAGTCCATAGCAGTGGGATGTGGCCTATGGAAGGAAAACATCCCCCCCTGCACGGATGAGGGCATTAAAGGCATTGGGCAGTGAGGCCACTATGACTGGAAATACCTTTTGTCAGTTGAGCAACTGCTGTGACCTAGCATTTCCGGAGGTGGCATTGCTGATTGAGTCTTCCCTCTCAGCTGGATGTCCCCTTTTCTGAATGACTCTACATGTCAGCATCAGCACCATGGAAGGCATCTTTTTTGTCTTGCTAAGCCAAGCCCAGGGCTGGGGATGACCCAGGTGACTGCCGCTGCCCCTGGCACTGCCCTCTGAAAGTGTGAGTGGCTTGCGACAACCTAGAAAGCTGTGGAACGGCCCCTCCTGCTGGCACAAAGGGAAGCCAGCACTGTCTCATGGAGATCGCACAGGGGCCAGGCCACTGGCTCATGACAGTGGGGTTTATAGCTGCCCTGTGCCCAGGCACAGAGCGTGGCAAGCGGAGCACAGTTGGATTCCAGACCCTGTTGCTCCTGTTGGCCAGGGGCCATTGTACAGAGCCGAGACTGCATTGTTCATGCGTGTCCTGGAAGTTGTGATGCGTTTGCACTGCGCATGCAGCTGACCGCGGTGGACAGTGGTGTTCGGGTC